TAAAATTCGACATAGAAATTTCAGATAATAAATCATTACATGTGAAAAACAAAACGTGTCACTGAAGAGATAAAATATAACAACTTGAAGACATCATTATATGTGTGTAAAATGAGCAAAAAATTAAATAGAACCAAAGTGACTATCGAGAAAATAGAATGCCTGCAAACTGCTGGGGGTATTATAAATTAGTTTACCTTTGGTAATAGAAATTTGGGAAAAGTTACAACACTTCATATACTTTGACTGAGTAAGTCTGCTCTGAAAAATAGCCAAAGAAAATCACCAAACTGGGTACAATTTATCTGTACAAATTTGTTCTGGGAAAATTGAAAATTAAGAAATGTCCAGAGAAAGAGGAGCATGTACAAAGCTACTGAACTGTGGATTCAATTGAAAATAATAAGTATAAGCATTATTATGAAACACATAACTCTTGGAAATGTTTAAATGATATAAAGTTTTTAAAAAGCAAGATACAAAAGAGTATATGTATACATATAGCTATTACAAATAAATAAAATTAAAGTTTAAAAAATGTAGAGGAATGTAAACAAATAAATGCTATGGATTAGTTTTTCTAGTATGTTAATTTAAAATTATAATTTTTAAACAAAAGCAAAGGTATATTACCTTCAGTTTAAAAAGTGAAGAAACCAACTCCATGAAATTCAAGCAAAAATATGAAAAAAAAAGTTACTTGAAAAATACAGAAAATATTTCTCAAGTAAAGGGAAAATACAAATAAGGACTTTGGCTAAGAAACTAAGCCAGAGTCAGCTGGGTGCAGTGGCTCACGCCTGTAATTGCAGCACTTTGGGACCCTGAGGCGGGTGGATCACAAAGTCAGGAGATTGAGAACATCCTGGCCAACATACAGAAACCCCGTCTCTACTAAAAATACACAAATTAGCCAGGAGTGGTGGCACATGCCTGTAATCCTAGCTACTCAGAAGACTGAGGCAAGAGAATCATTTGAACGAGGGAGTCGGAGGTTGTAGTGAGCCGACTGATCGTGCCACTGCACTCCAGCCTGGTGACAGAGGGAGACTCCAACTCAAAAAAAAAAAAAAAAAGAAACTAAGCCAGAGTCAAGGGCTCCATTCCAGGGCTACGTAAATATGGTTAAAAAGCTGGTTTAGAACTTAAAGACAAACTAAATTCCAAGGAGTGAAGTCTTAATCTGTCTTAAGACCCATCTTAGAGACATGAAAATTTCAAGTGGTTAAATGATATCTTTCTTTTTCAGCATTTTATTAGGAACAATTTCAAACATGCAAAAGTATGGGGAAAATAATACCATAAACTTCATGTCACCATCACTCAGCTTCAATAAACTATCAAAAACTGGCGAATGTTTCCCTCACTGCAATTCCCTCATTAGGGCATTGGTGTCCCAGCAATCTCCAAATTATATTTATAGTTTCATTATGAAGTTTCTCCTTTTAAAAATACTTTACTTGTTTTAAACAACTGTACCCATTAGTCTTTCTTAGGCTCTAACTGTCTATCCTAGGCCAATGACAGCCCCTTCATTCTTGCTTCTCTGTCCATCCTTATATGACCCTAGTAGTCTTTGAAAGGTTCTTAATTTTTGATATCACATGATGCTATGGTGCAGTGCTTTTCAAAATGTGGTCCCTGGTCCAGCAATGTTATCATCACCTAGGAACTTGTTAGAAACGCAAATTCTTGGGGCTTTCCTCATACTTACTGAATCAAAACCCCTAGGGACAGGAGACAGCAATCTATTTTTCTAATAGCCCTCCATGTAACTCCAATGCACCCAAGTTTGAGAACCACTAATTTAGGTTTACCTTGTACATTTCTTGCTCCAATCCTGGAATGTGTCATTTCTCCAAGAATTTCTAACTTCTTTTATTTCTATTTAATTTATTTTAAAGACAGGATCTTGCCCTGTCACATATGCTGGAGTACAGTGGTATTATCACAGCTCACTGCAACCTTGACTCCTGGGCTAAAGTATTTCTCCAACCTTAGCCTCTAAAGTAGCTGGGACCACATGTGTACACCATCCTGCCAGGCTAATTTCTTAAATTATAGAGACAGGGTTTCACTATGTTGCCTAGGTTGGTCTTGAACTCCTGGTCTCAAGTGATCTTCCACCTCACCTCCCGAGTCACTAGGATTAGTATGAGCCACAATGCCTGGCTATATTTCTTAATTATGTTGTTATAAATGACAACCCAGTGGTAGTGAGTATCCCTAATACCCAGATTGTGATCTCTATGATTCATGGGGCCAGGCACAGTGGCTCACACCTATAATCCTAGCACTGTGGGAGGGTGACGCAGGAGGATTACGTGAGGCCAGGAGCTTAAGACCAGCCTAAGGCAACATAGTGAGACCTCATCTCTACAAAAAAACTAAAGAATTACAAGCCTGCAGTCCCAGTTACTTGTGAGGCTGAGGCAGGAGGATCACACCACTGCACTCCAGCCTAGGTGACAGAGTGAGATTGTCTCTAAAGTAAGTAAGCAAATAAATAAATAAACACATAAATAAAAAGAAATATACTTAAGTAACTGAGTAGTTAGTTAAAAAACTGATATCAGATTCTAAGTATCCTAACTTGTAGTCCAGTGCTCTTTTCACTGTATTTGAATGAATTACATCTCTGTGTAACTTGCACATGGACATCAGCTATCTTTTTCCTAACTTTGGTATCTATCATTTACTCAGACACCTTGGAAAAGTCAGTCATCCACTCTAAATTAGTTTTCCCTATGTGTAAAATTTAAATAAATAAATAATATCTATCTCATTTATCTTTTAGTTTATATAAACAGGAAATAAGAGATTACATATGAAAGCATATGTTATCATTAACATATGTTATCATTAACAACTGACAGGGGATCAGAAGAGTATCTTTGGTTTATAAAGACAGATGGCTAAAACATATTAAATGGCAGCCATGAGAAGAGAAGACAAATGAAACAGTTAAAGTGCTAACATAATGATGGGCTTGCCTTATCACAAAATAAATATTTTCTATAATTAAAAAACAATAATCCCAGCACTTTGGGAGGCCGAGGCAGGTGGATCACGAGGTCAAGAGATCGAGACATCCTGGTCAACAAGGTAAAACCCTGTCTCTACTAAAAACCCAAAAATTAGCTGGGCATGGTGGCGTATGCCTGTACGCCCAGCTACTCGGGAGGCTGAGGCAGGAGAATTGCTGGAACCCAGGAGGTGGAGGTTGCAGTGAGCCGAGATAACGCCATTGCACTCCAGCCTGGGTAACAAGAGCAAAACTCCGCCTCAAAAAAAAAAACAACAACAATGTGGCCATAGTTCAAGAAGGGAAATTAAATTGAAATCTTAGACTAATCAACAATTTCATAAAATCTAAAGACATCAATTAAAGTTTGTGAGCAATGAAATAATTTCCTATAAACATTCTAGTGAAGTTAGCAATAAAGAAAAAATATCCTCACCACACAAATACCATAGAATGAATTAAATTAAAAAGTAAAGCTAAAAATATGAAAGCACAGAAAAACTTAACACTATTTATGTGTAAATTTATACTCTCAAAATGGGGATAAACTAAGCAAAAAATCCATGGGAGGAAAAGCTAACATGGAAGAGAGATTTAAATTATATTTAAAAACAAAAGAAAATTTAAGACATGAAAAAAAGATGTCACTGGTAATCAGAGAAACCTAAATTAACACAAAATGAAATATTTTCCACTCATCAGATTTGAATTTTGTTAAAAAAAAAAAAAACGGAGGAAGAACAGAAAGATGAGAACATTACCAATATTAACTGCTCTTGGCAAGGATGAGGAAAACTTGGTATGCTGCTTTTTACAAAATTTGATGCATTTGAGAAAATTTATACTTTTTCTATAATCAGTAAAAGTTACATAAAAAAGGAATAAGAAAAATAAGTAAAAAGTAGAGTCTTCTTCATGTCTTAAATGAATTTGCTGTAAAGCCTCAAAATGACTTCTAGATAGTAACTCCTCCAAATCTGCCTAGTAAAGATTGTAATTGTGGCATACACATGGTATCAGACCCAATTAGAAATTGTTAACTAGAGAAAAACAATCTGTTAGTGGCTTAGCAGTCTTACCAAGAGTTTCAGAGACTCCAACATGTTTATGGTATTCTTCCCTATAATCTAAACCTTCACTCTGAAGCATTATCATCAAGACAAAGAGGATAGTCTACAGATTCAGAAAGTCCCAGTTAAAATCATGGCTGAGCTACTTAGAAGTCATTTGTGTTTATGTAAGTAATGCAATGTTTCTGAATTTATTTTCTCAGGTGCAAAATGTACATAATACCACCTGCTCCATTTGAATTACTGTGCAGGTTAGAACAAAATGAATGACCAGAGCCTAGTTTCAAATACTGAGGACCTAACTGGCTCTTATAATATGGTAGCTGCTACTGCTGCTATTGAGCCTCATTTAATTAATGTGTGAATAATCAGGTTTACGCATCAATTATCACTCCACTGAAGTGAAAAAATATAGTTTATAAGTCACATCCTGTATGACTATAAAACATTCTCGCTAAACTGAATATTTAAAAAAAGAAAGGAAGGAAAGAGGGAGGTAAGAGAGGTAGAAGGAAAAGAGAAAGGAAAAATGGAAAAAAGGAAAAAGGCACAAACTAAGATTAGCAATCCATTTTAATGAATGGAACTGGCCGAGAGTTATACTGACAACCCTGAAGCCTGATATCACCCACTCATTAAACTGTCATTGAACTTACCAATTACATGTGATCAACTTGAAGCAAGATGAACTCTCTCCTATGCTGAGGTGTCCTCATAAAGCTGTGGAATAAAACTTGCATTTTCTATTTAAAGCCATTCCTTCACTGCTAAACAGTTGGTCTGAGAGGAAGGCAGCAAGCAGGGTTAGAGAAAAAAGAGGAGGATAAAGATAAAGAGAAAAACAACATGCGATTACGGATAAAATCTCTTCACCCGATCCTTTCAGATTTTCCTCATGTTCTAACCTGTAGCTGCTGAGAGCTGTCGTTGAGATTGTCCTCCCGTCGTCGAGCCTCCTCTAGCATTTGTGCACTCTTCTTTTTTTCCACCTGTTCCTTATGCTTCAGATTTGCTACCTTCTTATTCTGGTCTTTCACTTGCCTAATGATAGAAGGAGAAAAATGAAGCTTTGCATATGTATGCATAGAAATGAATATATTTATTTAGAGACTTACACCAGTGACAATAAAGAATCATTGAAAACCAACAAATAAATACATGCTGCAAATTTTCTCAACAATTCCAAATTCTTTTCCATCAATGGTAGCACATTTGTTCATGAAAATAAGTTTTCCCCTAAAGAATATGTATTTCAGCAGGTACTCTATAAAGAACAATGAAATCATAAAACAAAAGAAAGGCATGGGATAATTTGCAATGACTAAAAAGAAACTGAATCGGAGATTTTGGAAATATGGAAGCAGTCTCCTGACATCACTGCACTGAAATATTAGAATGGCTGATAGAAAAAGAAAGTTTGGTAAAACAACTCTAATTTTACCATTATTAAATATTTCAAACATTCAATATACTGTATATGATTGTAGTTGTATATAAAATAATGACACAAAAATCTAGAAACCTAGCTTAAGAAATGGAACATTGCACTTACTTCTGAAGCTCCCTATTGTGTCTCTCTCTACTATTGGTCTATCCTCCATTAATAAGAACAATCTATATCTCAAAATTTATGTTTAAACCCCTCTTGCTTTTATTATTGTTTTGCTACATATATAATGTGTGTATGTATATATATATATATAAACTGTTCATTTATAGTTCATATGTTTTTGAGCTTTATAAAGTTTACTGATGATTATTCCCTTTTTTTTAGTACAGAATGATATTCAACATTATTTCTTTTCAATATGTTTCTAGATTTAGACCATTCAAAGTGTAATGTATCTTTTAATCCTCTCCACTTTCACCGAAGTATGAAATAATATATGGCAGTTATTTTAATCTACTCCCCAGAAGATGACAATTGGGTTGTTTCCATTTTCTTGCTATTTTAAGTAACTGCTAGGTACACTCTGATATACCTGTGAAAGAACATCTCCAATGTGTAGGCCTAGGGACTAAATTGCTAGGACATACAGCAGGTACACCTTATTTTATTTTCCAAGACGCTATATTAATTTATACTTTTGCTAGCAGTGCATAACAGTGCCCATTATACCTCTTCACATCCACTAATGCATGGTACTGACTTTCTAAATGTTTCCAATCTCGCAGAAAAAAAAAACAGTACCTCATTATAGTTTTAAAATGCATGTTTCTAACCACCTAGGCTGAATATCTTATCTTACAGTATTTGGTCCTTCCTGTTTCCACTTCTGTGAAATAGCTATTCATATCTTTTGTCCATTTTTAGAATTAAGATATCTTTTTCTTAATGATTTATAGGTATTCTTTACACATTAAAGATAATGTTTTATCTGTTATATGTTATGTAAATATTTTATTCTAGTCTATGATTTCTTTACATCTTTTCATTTATAGAATTAAAAAAAATTTTTTTTGAAGATGGAGTCACACTCAGTCATCAAGGCTAGTGTGCAGTGGCACAATCTCAGCTCACTGCAGCTTTGACCTCCCAGGCTCAAGATTTCTCCCACCTCAGCCTCCTGAGCAGCTGAAATTACAGGCAGGTGCTACCACATCCAGCTAACTTTTAGTATTTTTAGTAGAGATGAGGTTTCACTATGTTGCCTATGCTGGTGTTGGACTCCTGGACTCAAGCAATCCACTGGCTTCTGCCTCCCAGTATTGGGATTACAGGCATGTGCCACAGCCTAAAATTTTTAATTATTTCAAATGTATCAGTCTTCTCCTTTATAATGTACAATTCCGTGGCATCTCTAAAAATCTTGTCCATCCCAAGTTTATAAAGATATTCCCCTAAAACTACATTAAACTTTGTCTTTTACACTGCAGTCATTAATCCATCTGAAACTGATGTTATGTATGTTATGAGTGAAGAATATACTTCCATTTTGGGGGATCTGGTGTAAGAAAAGAATAAAATTTCATTTTTTACATGTATTTATAATGAATTTTCTCAGGAATACTTACATGCATTGCCACTTCTGGCATGTGTACAAAGTTTCTATATACATGTGTACCTGGTTTGCGGTTATGTTTGTATATTCCTGTGACAGATCTATATACTACCTTAATTATTATACCTTTACCAGAAGTAACTAGTAAGGTAAGGCTTCCTACCTTTTTCTTCTTGAAAACCATCTTAGCTATTCTTCGCCCTTTACACTTCTCACAGAAATTTCAGAACTAGCCCAACAAGTTCCACCAAACCAACCAACCAACTACAGCAACAAAAAATCCAACAGCAGCCTCTGGGATTTTGATTCCAATTACACTGAAGCAATATAAGTTTGGGAAAAATTTCATGCTTTGGATCTTTCAATTCATTAACATACTATAGACGCTCCTCAACTTACCATTGGGCTATATCCCAATAAACCCACTGTAAGTTGAAAATATCCTAAGTCCAAATGCATTTAATACACCAAATCTGAAAATATCAGTTGTTTACCCTCCTAGTTGTGTGGCTAACTGGAATCTGTGGCACTGCCACTGTCCAGCAACACAAGACAGTATGATACTACATATAGCTAGTATAAGAAAATATCAAAACTCAAAGTATGGTTTTGCTAATGTGTACCACTTTTGTACCATCATTAAGTTAAAAACTTGTAAGTCAGTCTGTATTATCTATTTGTTTAGGTCTCTTTAAAAGGCTTCTAACAAAGTGTTATATTTTCCTCCATAAAAGATGTGTATATATTTTATTCCTAAGCACATTACATGTTTTGCCATCATTTAAAATTCCAGACACCACATCATTACACCCTTACACATGCTTCCTTATGCATCTCCAAAAAAGAGCATTTTTAACAATGTAAATTGTAACAAAATTAATAATTCCTCAATATCAATATATAGTCCATATTTGAAATTTCCACATTCGTCTCAAAGTTTATTCTTATAGCTACTTTATTTGAATCAAAATACAAAAAAATGCCCACATATTTTGCTTATTTGTTAGATCTTTCAAATCCCTACTAATCTAGAGAAAAGTCTCTTACCTCCTCCAAAGTACCCTTTTTGAATGCCAGTGATTTTTTTTTATTAAAAGAAATCAATTGTTATGTACAATGACTCACACTCTAGATCGTATGTTTGTTTCTTCATGGTGAAATTCAACTTGTTTCTCTATATCTCTTGCTTTTTGTTTGTTTTGATACTGAATATTAGCTTTAAAGACTTGAATATATTCCATTTCCATTTTTAGGTAAAAATAATAAATAATGGTGTTGTGTAACTGACACTGCCTCAGATCTGAGAGCACGTAACGTCTGATTTTCCTCACTTTGTTGTTGTTGTTGTTGTTGAGACAGGGTTTTGCTCTGTTGCCCAGGCTGAAGTGCAGTAGTGCAATGTCGGCTCACTGCAACCTCCACCTCCCAGGTTAAAGCCATGCTGATGCCTCAGCCTCCCAAGTACCTGGGATTACAGCCATGCAACACCAAGCCTGGCTATTTTTTGTATTTTTAGCAGAGAAGGGGTTTTGCCATGTGGGCCAGGCTGGTCTCAAACTCCTGGCCTCAAGTGATCTGCCTGCCTCAGCCTCCCAAAGTGCTGGGATTACAGGCGTGAGCCACCATGCCTGGTCCTCAGTTTTCTCACTCTTAACAAAGCTAAAATTAACCAGTGCTTTAAGGCAGTGACAGCATGATCTCAAAGGAATGGAGATCCATGAAATGATTGATAGAATTAAAGATAATCATTCTAAAGACTCAATGAGATTCAAGAGAACCCAAAAACAAAAATCAGGAAACTCAACACAAAACAGGACAACAATACATGAACAAAACAAATAGTTCAATAAAGAAATAGAAACTCTAAAGAACCAAACAGAAATCCTGCAACTGAAGAATACTCTGATAACTGAAAAAAAAAATTAATAGCTTCAATAGGAAACTAGGCTATGCAGAAGAAAGCATCAATGAACTCAAACACATTATTTAAAATTATCTAGAGAAACAAAAAAGAAAAATGAATTAAAAAATGACAAAAGCATACAGAGACTATGATGCAGCATCAAATGAATGAACATGTGCGTTATCAAGGTCCCAAAAGAGAACAGAAGACATATCTAGCTTACTTAAATGAATGTTGCCTGAGAATTTCTCAAATCTTAAAAGAAATATGGACATCTAGCTCAAGTTAAAGATTACACTGAAACACATTATAAGTGAATGCTGAAAAATCAAAGGCGAAGAGGAAATTTTGAAAGCAGCAGAAGAAAAGCAACCTATAAAATACAAGGAAACCCCCAATAAACACACATACCACCATTATCACCATCAATAAAGCAATCAGCGGATTTCTCAGCAGAAATCTTGCAGAACAGGAGGGAACAAGATTATATCATCTAAGTGCTAAAAGGTAAAAAATTGCCAGCCAAGAATATTATACATAAGAAAGCTGTCCTTCAGAAATAAAGAAGAGATAAAGACATTTTTAGACAAACAAAAGCTAAGGGAGTTCATTGCACTAGACCTGCCTCATAAGAAATGTTAAAGGGAATTCTGTGAGTTTAAACTAAAGGACACTAAATAAAAACATGAAAACAAGGCCGGGTGTGGTGGCTGATGCCTGTAATTCCAGCACTTTGGGAAGCCAAGACAGGCAGATCACGAGGTCAGGAGTTCGAGACCAGCCTGACCAACATGGTGAAACTCCATCTCTGTTTAAAAAATAAAAACAAACAAACAAAAACACTAAAACACATTAAAGTATAAAACTCACTAGTAAAAATAAATATACAGTCAAATTGAGAATACTGTAATGCTGTTACATAAATCAATTTTAACCAGTATAAAAGTTAAAAGACAAAAATATAAAAAGAACTATAGCTACAATTGTTAATAAGTACACAAATACAAAAAGATGTAAAGTGTGACATCAGTAGCATAAACTGTGAAGGAGGGAAAAGTAAAATTGTAGAATTTTTGTAATTAAAGTTTAGTTATTACAACCTTAAAACAGCCTGTTGTATTTTATGTAAACTTCAT